CGTGGTGATGCAGACGAAGTGCAACGAATGCTAAAAGAAGATGTGATACAACATCAGATGTCCATGGTCATCTCCAGTCATGCTGTGAAGAAGAAAATGGTGAATGGGGTTTTTGTGTCGATTACAGAAATTGAACAAGGTAACTAAAAAGGACATCTATCCGTCCCCTTACCTCGCATCGATATGCTTTGGACTGCCTGGCTGGTGCAAAACTTTTCTATATGATGGATCTGAAGTCAGCTACTGGCAATAGATGTTGATGATAAAGACAGAGAAAAAAGCTTTTGATGCTCCAGATGGTCTCTATGAATTTAAAGCCATGCCGTTCGGATTATGCAATGCTCCAGCCACATTTGAACGGATGATGACACGGTACTAAGAGGTTTCAAATGGAATATTTGCTTTGCTACCTCGACAACATAATCGTGTACGCACCTAATTTCGAAGAACATCAAAAGCATTTTGAGAGAAATACTGAAATGTATCCAAAGCAGGACTGACGCTAAATTCCAAGAAATGTTCATTCGGCAAAAAACTGACATACTGGGACACTTAGTCGATCAACATGGGATATATCCCGATAAAGGTAGAGCTGTAGCAAGTTCCCTATTCCAAAAATATCGCCAATATCCGAAGTTTTCTGGGCTTGGCTCCTACTACCTACCCACGATTTATCCAAAATTGCAGATATTGCAAAGCCCCTGCATGACTTGTGAAGAAAGATGGAAATTTCTTGGAACGCACAGATTGAATCTTTCCAATGCTCAAAAGGCTGCTGACCAGTGGCACTGTTTTGGGACATTTTATTCCAGACGCAGAAACCAGGATACATTCTGACGCTAGCGGCTATGGTATCGGTGCAGTACTGGTTCAGATCCAGGATGGCAAGAAAGACCAACGCCTATGCATCCAGGTCTCTTACTGCAGCTGAAAGGAACTATTCCACCACCGAAAAGAATGCCTTGTCGTCATCTGGGCAATTAGTAATTCAGGCCATACCTCTACGGAAAACCCTTCACGTTAGTCACAGATCACTACTCTTTATGTTGGCTGGCCAATGTTAAGGATCCACCCAGAAGACTTGTACGGTAGGCTCTCAGGTTGCAGGAATACGACATAAATATTTTCTACAAGAGCGGTCGCAAACACTCCAATGCAGATTCACTATCAAGGAAGCCTCTCATAGAACTAATAATTGAGAACAATGAAGACATCCCTTTCTTTGCGGCGATTGTAGATTATGGAAAAGAGCAGCAGAAGGACAAATGATTAAAATCCATCATTACAACTCTCAAGAGAGGTGACAATATCAAAATTATCAAATAAAAATGGTATACTGTACAAAAGAAGCTATGATCCTATGGGACAGCAGTGCTCTTGGTGGTACCAAAGCAACTTCGTAGCGAGGTTCTAAGAAGTCTTCATGATACTACACTACACTTTGATCTTAGCCAAAAGGCCGAGAAGCGATGCTCCGCTGGCCATCTCGGATTTGCCAAAACGTACGACCGAATAAGGAGGAAGTACCATTGGCCAGGGCTATATGGAAGCATACGGCGGTATCACACTGCCGAGAATGCCAAAGACGGAAATCACCGCCGCAAACGTCCACCAGGACAACTTCATCCTAAAACCTCCTGACACAACCGTTTACCAAAATTGGGAATAGATCTACTTGGACGCTTTCTTGTTACTCGAAATGGGAACCAGGTGGATTATAGTTTTTGCACAGATTACCTTACCAAGATTTGCAGTCACAAAGGCAATACCGACAGCTGAGGGCACCGAAATTGCCAAGTCTATAGTTGAAGAGATTGTACTGAAGCATGGTGCCCCCAAAGAAATGATAAGTGACCGAGGACGCAATTTCCTATCCAATGTTGTTAAAGAAGTAATTCATCTATGCAAGACATCTCATCTGCTGACGACTGCTTACCACCCTCAGACCAATGCTTAACTGAAAGATTCAATAAAACATTGGCAGACATGTTGTCCATGCACGTAGACGTTGAACACAAAAATTGGGATACTATTCTACCAACTGTAACCTATGCCTATAATTCAGCCAAACAAGATACAACGGTATTCAGCCCATTCTTTCTCATTTATAGCAGAGATATCCAGACACCTCTCGACATAATTTTCCCATACAGTATCGAAGATAGTTATGCACAACATCTGATTACTAGAGCTGAAGAAGCTAGACAGCTTGCAAAACTCCATATTCTTAAAGCGCAAACCACAGACAAGCACCGATATGACGAGAGACATCGACCTGCCAGCTACAACATCGGAGACTTGTCTGGGTCTTTCACTCACAGTACGAAGGTTGGGTTATCTGAAAAGCTCCTAAGACGTTACACAACATCAAAATCGTTCACATGTTGAGGTTGGAAGCCCTATCTTGATCCGAAAAGTACAACTAGACGATGAAAGAAAGCCCAATATTTCCAGCGACCTGTTCCAAGAAGCCAGACCAGATCGCAGCGGGACGCGCTTCTTCCTAAAAGGGAATGTAGCAAAAATTGCTCTTTTCGACCGAGCTCCTCATAGCTTAGCGGAGAAGGCACAGGACCTCGAAACCCCGAAAGTACCCGGGTTCGAACCCATCAACGGCAAGATGCCTGATAATTGGTTTTTATGTAAATATCCTTGTTGTTAAGGTTAACTTATTTATGTAAATTTCCTTCTTATTCTTCCAGAACATTCCAAGTCTGGAATGTTTCAGCATGTTCACCAGCTGTATATAAGTAGCTCTTCATTCAGTTCTAGTTAATAAAAAGTCTTGAGTTTAGACTTGTACTTGCCTGTTCATTTGTAGGATTCCCTCATCTACACGACAATATTATGTAGTAAAATGTCTAATTTGAGACGGTCATTTATAAGCTATCATGTTGCTCTTCAAACTGTTGGTTCCACCATATGAGAAAATTATTGGATTGTTTTTGCTAAGTGTAACATCCTTAGGGAATTGTCAAAATAAATGAAATGCCAAATGTTTACACAAAACTGCTTCTCTCTCCACCCTATTCATCTTCCATTAGACCAGGTCAGGGTCTCAAAAGTTTTTGAAGTTGTGGACATTGATTTATGCTCTTTCTGAAGAACAAATCTAAATTATTGATTGTCATTTTCGCAGGCGCTGTGTATCGAGCCATACAATTGGAACTGGAGACCAATTTGTCAACAGAAGGCTTCATCCATGTCCTCAGAAGATTTATAGCAAGAACTGGGATTTTTAACAATTTTCAACAAAAACGGAACTAACTTTCGGGGGATCAACAATCTTGAAATCATTAAAATGGAGTCACACAGAAAATTCTGAATTGAAGACCTTTTAACAATATTATGTGAAGGTAGAATGAATAATCGACTCCTTACATACACTACAGATGAGTTTGATAAATCTATTCCTTTGACTCTCATCTTTTATTCAAGATATCTAAGAAACTGAGATAACTGACTTAGCGAAAATTAATTCCCAGAAGCTTCAAAAAAAGATACTAAACATGCCAAAATATTAAGGATAATTGAAAAAGAAATTCAAAGAAAATATATTTGGAAACCATCATTATCATTCAGAAATTGAAGGAAAAAGCTCAAGTTATCCAGACAGACAGTATAGTATTAATTGAACCAGACGATCGAAAGAGAATTGGCCTATCCAAGTAAAGGAAGCTGTGCATGAGTAGCAGAGGTACATCTCGAAGAACTTCTGTATGCCCATTTCATAAACTTTAGCCCACGGAGATGTCCAGGAATGATGATTCGCGCAACCAGTTAATGTACTGTATGAATATTTTGAAATTCAATTTTAGGACTCTAATTGCTTACTGTGTGAAATTTCTTCAGAAAATGGTTTATTTTTATTATTGTTCATTATATTAATTTTTGAGTAATAAATTTAATTTTGTGTTTAATTTCTGGCTTTCACCATAAATTAATTGGGGAAGTATGTTAGGAATTAAGCTAACATATTTTTTCTCCTCTCTACACAACACCAGTGGTTTCACAAGTGAAATAAATTCAACTTGTTTTTGGCATGTTTGCTGAACAGTTAATTACATTTTGCCTTCATTCCAGTACAAGCATGTAGAACCTGCAGAGTTGGGCTTTTTGGCCTATGAGTTTATTTTTACAGCCACAAATAACACATAGATAGTGGGCTGTATTACTCATGAAACTGTTACTAAATATTTGCGTTCTCCTTCATTTTTTATGTGATGTGTAAGTTAAAAATGTAAAATGTCAGAAAAAAATGTTCTGTGTTTCATGGAGATCTCTTTTTCAGCTAAGACATCACCACAAATTAGTCATAGTCTTTGCCTAGAAGAAAAGGTAATAAATCTTTCTTCTTTTCAAACAAAATTTATAATAGAACCTGCATTTGTCAGTGGAGTCTGAGAATGTTTATCAACAGCTATTAACTAAATCCAGTTTATCAACCAGGATTTAGTTGAGTAAGTCTTATGTTTCTCACACTGAAAAAACCTAACAGTCCAATTTAAGCAGATATTATTTTTACCCTATTAATTATAATCATGAACTGTATTAGGAACTATGCATTTCAGTTTTCATCCAACTTCTGCCTAAACATCATATTCATTTAATTTAATAATTAATTCATTTAATTTCATTAATAATAATTTAAATTATTATTAATGAAATATAATTCATTAATCTAAAATTATAATATAATTCATTAATCTAAAATTTATCTACATTAACAGTTCTCATAAGCACTTACAAATTAACAAAGCACCACTGAGTAAGTACCACTTTAAAACCTGCAAGTAACTGATGATGATCAAATGAAAATATTCAGAAACTTGACACATATTTAATACATTCTGTGGTGAATGGGATACATGATTCAAAAGAGGAGAGGGGCAAAATTACCAATTTCAATTTATAAAAGATTAATATAACTCAGGTTTAATCCTGAAATATAATTAAAAATTTTAGATAATCAAATAAACTAATATATTACAAAAACATACCCAATGCCAGTTCCAATCAAAACAGAGATTAAGTTGGATACAATGAGAATAGTCAACATTTCAGTTGAGAAAAGACCACTCTTAGCTGCTCTGGAATTTCGCAAACTCAGGGTAGGCTTTGGATGAAGCAGCTTCCATTCCCTATGAATGCAGAATAAGTAATACAGATTACTTTCAATCAAGCAGCTAAAAACATCAAAATGATTAGTTATTATTTGATTGATCCTTATTCATCAAAAAAACATTACTTCTGAATAAATTATCACACTGTAACCCACTCAATTAAATTTTAAAGTAATTTATTGAAAATACAAGCAATTCCCCCCCCCCCCCCGGTTATTCTGACATTTGTGACATTGAACATAGCAATCTGCAAGTAAAGACTAAAATGAATTAGTGAAACCAAAGCTAGCAGTGGGAGTGGTTCTTTTTTACACTACAGCTCATGTAAAATTTTAAAAATGTATTTTAGCTCTCCAAATATGGATTTCAACAATATAGTTCTCACCCTTCTGATGTCACAAATGTAATCATTTATGGACAATCTAAATTTTCAAATGATCTATCTTATGTATAAGCTGTTGCTAAAATGAATATAAATATATTTAATTTAAATATTAATTAAATATATAACATACATATGCCATATAAGGCCTAAGGAAAATCTCAAAATTCTCCAATTTCCCACATTTTTCACTAGAAACAGATGTTAAAAATTGTTTTTAAGTAAAGCTATGATTGGTTAAATGTACAGCGAAAGCTCGACTATTCCGAAAGTTTGGGAAATGCCAAATGCTGGATATGTGAAAATTCCGGTTGGCAACCATATAAAAAATGCAAATCAGGGTAGAAAAGCCAAATGAATGGAAGAATAAATTTTTGATCTAAAATAAAAAATATAATAATAAAAAAAAAAAAAAAAAAAAAAAAAAAACCAGCCTGAATATGAAGAAAAAATTCAGACATAAAAGATGATGCATTTTTGTATGCCTTAAAAACATGAAAGGTAAACATATTCAGTTATGATATACGTTAACATGAAAGCTGGTGGTGATCCTGCTAACCTTCTGCAAATCATTCCAGCATAAATTTGAAGGAATTGATCATTCATCATTTAGGTTGATAACCAAGAGATAAGAGTTATGGATAAAGCATGCAAAAAATTAAAATGCTTGTCATAATGTATGTAATGTAATAAAGCATCCTGTAATTTTGTAAATATTTCACTACTTGTTGCTCAGCTTAGCAAAAGTCTCAGTTTTAATAATTTTTTTCTAAAATGCAAGGAAAGCAAATAAATAGTTAAATTATATGCTCCATCATAAAAACTTCAAGATTAGATTTAGACAAAACCAAGGCGAAGAACCTATGCTTGTATAGTGATGCCATTAGTAATTAGAGCTAAATCACACTGATGACAGACAGTACTTGTTTGTTCTGACTTGTAGACCTACACATGCTTTGTGATGGCTTCACAAGACTTACTGCTTAATTTTTTGTCTTAAAATGAGTTTCTAAAATTTCAAGATGAATGTTGGATACTCAGGCTTTTACTTTATTATGAATAAATACAAGACAATTAAAGAATTTTATAGAAAACTTAGAAATACATCCCCAAGGTGGGAATGATTGAAAGAGTAACTAGAAATCTGAAACTTTCTATACTTGACTGAAATTTTATGCTTGTAGAACTTATCTACTTTGAAAAGCAGTACCGGGGAGGGGATATTAAATGAAAAAGTTTTCCGAACCATATTTCTAGCAATTTAAAATTTCAACATTCATAGTTTGTTAAAATTAGTAAAAAAGCAACCCATAACTTGGGGAAGATTTTGAATAAATCTTTAGTGATTTCAAGGGCAAGAAGACACAGATCTCTCTTCTTCAAAAGAAATTTAAAAACTTATATTGGCATGCTTCTCTTCCATTTGATTTGTAATTTTTGCTGAGTATAATACTTCATATGTCTTCTTTAATCTTCAGCTAATTTGGAACATATACAGTCACTTTGTTAAGAGTAGCCAAGAAAACATTTATTTCAGTAATTCTGATTTCATCAACATTATTATCAACTACTTTTTTTCAGTTTTCTAATTGCTTAACTGCATAACTTCTATGCTGCATTTCTAGATTCTGGGTCTTTTAACAACTCTACAGTTTGCATTTTCTTAAGCTAGTCTTTTACTTAACTTTTATATATATATATACACATATTTTCCTTTTCTGATTTGCAATCTTGTCTTTTCTTTTCTCCTTTACTACTCGAGATGCTTCTTTTTATTGCTTATATAAACTGAATATTCTAACTTGACCTAATAACTGTTTAGTGACTTTTATAAATGCAGTTTTTGAATTATATGTAAACTGACTGCATCTTCATAAATTTGAATTAATACATAAATCTAAGAATGAACAATTACCTTTAGTCACATTACTTGAAAAATTTCTTTTCAGCTTTGCCCTTTTGCAGATGATAAAATGAACAAGGTTTCACATACTATAAATCTTCAACTTTTGAAATTTTGCTCAAATTCCTAATATTATGATTTATACTGTGAGCATAAGTTGTATGAATAATATCATAATTATGCAAATACAACAACAATTCCTTCACTTTTATCAATATTGGAAGCTGTTTTACACTTTTGTAGTAAGCAACCAGGACTGCAGAAAGTACAAACTTTAAACTTAAATTATCAAAAGATTTAACAAAAATAAGTAGAGTTAAACTGGGTCAGCTAATTCAAATACAGAAAAGCACACAAGAGCTGTCTGCCTAACAGAAGGGATGCCTTTGTGGAGGACTTTCTAAAGAAAATCGGCTCATATTCGAAACAGCATGAAAACTAGATTAGTCATAGGAAGTTTCACAATTACACAGTATTTCAAGTGACAAGTTAGAAGCTTCTAATTGTCGATCAAGATCAAAGTAATAGGTACCATAAAATTTATGTGTTTATGAGAAATGCAAAACGGTGAACCCATTATACACAGATACCATGGTCACAAGGTTAAACTCAATGAATGAATTTGCCTTTTGGCATCTTACTTTATTTCAAAGATGTATTTTTCAGTGCTTCTCCCCTTTGGTTTCTTGTATTTTGGAACTAAACGTTTGCTTCTTTGTTGGAAAACTTTTGGCAATCATGAACCCCCAGAATGCAAAAATATTAACTACACAACTGGTTTGACAACACGTTCTTTTAAAACATTATAAGAAACATAAGATATTCAACAAATTTATCTTACAACATGCAATATAAAGTCCAAACTTTGGAATGATCTGCTATCTGGTTTTACACAGTATAGAAATGGTGAATATAATATGAAAAAAAGCAAGTATGCTGTAAAATCAATTTTTGCCCTGAGTGGTTGATATTTCTTTTGCTCAGAAATACTATTATTTGCAGCAATATTCAATCTTCTTGATGTTGCATTTATACACTTACTGGCAAGCGAATATTTTTACCCGAGTGACTAAAGAAAGGGGACCATTGTTATAAATTACCCACCTTCGTACACAACTTCTGAAGTCTTAAAATAGGTTTATTTGTAGTGGAGTGCTGTATACAGGATGATTAAAAAATATAAAGGCAGGTACAAGGGATCACTGTAACAATATTTGGCAGCTGAATATGCTTATGAAAAATGTCATGTTGATGACACACAGGGCACTGTTGAGTTATAAACAGTATTTTGTTGACATAAATCATCATTCGGTGAGCAAATTTGAAAGGCATACATTCCTACATTAATGTGTAGCATGCTGATGTGCATTTTATCTATAAGGAAAGTAGGTGAAAAAGGAGCACATTTGCTCAAAGGTTTGTTTTATTTAATTATGGCAAAGCACTCAAGGGCTATCTGCCTAATGGAAGGGGAGCCTTCATGGAGGACTTTCTGATGGAAACTAGCTCGTATGCACATTACACATGGGAAAAACACCAAAACGCCCGTATAGCCAGCTTGCTTGCCTGGAATTTAACTCAGGTCAGAACTACCAACATTTAGTGACTTGACCATGGTTTTGGTGATTAATTCTTTTGCAAATGTAGTGAGGAATAACTGAAAGTCACAAAACTTGATGACAGTTTGGCAACATTTTCATCCAGTCCCTGTATACTGTAATGGGTATTGCAATTAAATAAGTAATTGGTTTGGTTTATTTTAATTATGGCAAAGAATGCAATGGTTATCTGCCCAAGTGGTGGGATGCCTTCAGGGAGGACTTTCTAAGGGAAACTGGCTCGTATGCTACTTACACATGCAGAAAATCATGAAAACTCACAATAAGACAGCCCATTCAGCTGGAAATGAACCCAGGTTGGAACTATCGGTGTTCGGCGACTTTACCATTTAGCGGCTGGTGGGCATACTGGCAAGACTTGGTTGTAAAAGACACTTGAATCAAACTCCTGGGCGATAGGTGTATTCTGAGTAGGACAGATAGCAATTTCATGGCTTTTGATCGCATAACATGGCATTATTTTAAAAGGGAAAACAGTGAAAACTAATTCTCATGGGAGACGTGAGCGAGTCTTAAAGCCTGAGTTACTCTGTGAAAACCAGGTCAGTACACTGACAATAAATGAGCTACTGTACAACATTGAAGAAAAGTTGCAGTAGTCAGGTGGCATGAAGCAATTATAGGCATAATGTGGCATACTTGTAAATGATCCTTGATGTAACTGTAACCATATCCAGCCGTTTTGAGAAGTGGAAGGTATTAGAGATTTCTTGGCGGTCGGGGGAAACTATACAAGAGCAAAGAGCAGTTTCTGAGTTGTTCAGTTTTAACGCGAGTTCTGATTACTGAGATATCTCCGTGTTACCTTTGATCTTTAGATGTGCTTTGCACTGCATTGGGTTTAACATTCTTAGTAGATTGAAGTGTAACTACTGAATGTACTGTGATATGAGTATCAAAGAAATATACCAAAAAATACCAAAAGAAGTGTTTCTTCTGGTAAAATAAATTTTATAAAGTTGTCTTTGGTTCTACATGCATTCAATTCATTACGAACCCATAAGCACACAACAATATTGTTATCTCATCAGAATTCAAATTTGAGTTTTCCAATTATGCCAAAAAGAGTTTCTACTTCTAGAGCTGTTGCAGCATCATCAAAATGAAGGCATATTTTGATGTCAATCAAGTAAAAAGTAGAACTACTGCATAAAAATGGAAAAAAGGACATTCATGGCAAAAATATGCAAGGAGTACAGCAATGAAAAATACACAAATACATATATACAGTACAAAGTCCGTAATCCGGACGTCCATTATCCGGAATGATCTATAACCCGGACCTCAAAGCCACAAACTTATGCATGCGCATAAAGCGTTTACACATGCGCACTTCCGATCACTTTGAGCTCAGACCTTGTACTATAATCGTTATTTCATCTACTGCTTTTTTAATTCAGATTTCAAATTAATAGCTGGCAGTACATAATAAATAAAAAAATTTTAAATGAAGAAAAGTAAAAATATGACTGAATTCACTGATTTAATAAACTTACAAAAGTTATGAGCTTAAAGAACATACTTTAGCCACACTTTTAGTTTCTAAGCTCTGCTCTTATTTGTGGAGTGATCAGCAACACTGGATCCCATATCACTAGGGCTATATTCACATCAGAGAAGACAGCCACATTATTAAAAGAACATTCATAAGCATATAGTGTGTGTGTGGCATGGGGGTACTTAAGATATTGGTGAGTCAAAAGTCCTCGAGAGGTTTTTGTGGTAGGGGAAGAGAAGTGAAAGGCATTTTGATACATTCCTGAGACTGTTCTCTATTAAAATCTTGGATGGACCCCCCCATCTCACAAGTTTACAGTCATGACAGCTCCCATTCCTAGTTCACAACCCTCCAGATCCATGGTTTACAACAGAGGAGAAAAGTTCTTTGAAGCTTGAAAATGTATGTCAAGTTATTAAAAAAAAACTGTGGGAAAATATGAAGCACAGCCAGTGAAACAAGGTAGGCACTATTCCCACAGTAATCATGTCTATATGTACATGCATATACTTTTCTAACAGATGTAACTAAATAAGAGAGAGAGGTTTGAAAATGGTCATCTTTGGACATTCATATGTTCTAAGGGTCATAAGGGTTCTAAGGGACACTCACATGTTCCACTGCTTAGAATTTTGCTACTTTTCTGCATGATGGTTATAAAAATGTCAGCCGAGGACCGTGGCTATCCATGGTCAAAACAACTAGCTCCTTCCCTTCATACACAGGTTTTCCACTTAAAATTTCCCTCAGATCTGCTTTTAACAATCTCTGTTCTCATTAATGACATTTCATCATTTATGAGAACAAAGAGAACTAGAACTTTGTAATCAGAAATTATTTATTTATATTACAATGGCTTCCAAATATATGAGTAGTGATGCTACCAGTGCTTTTTAAAAAAAAGTTATCATGTCTTATCCATTAGTGACAAAGCAAAAATTTTGGATTGCAAACTTTGCATTATATTAACAGTACAGCATATAAAGCTGATATAACCATTTTACTGTTATTTATTAATAATGGTAATGAACACCCTGTTCTACAAAGTATTTGCTGTTATCCATAGTTTTAACTTATTCAGCAGTAGCTTTTGGAATGAACTACCTGTGGATATGGGGCACTCATGTAATTCAGTCGCAATATACTGGGCAAAGCTCTCAGTGAAGAGATGGCTAAATGAGTGTGGGTATTAGCCATTTCCAATGAATGCATTAAATTGCAAGTGTCCAGCCATTTCTGACAGCAATAGTTTCTACGTAAACAGTTGAAACCTTTTTTTTTTTTTTTTTTGTAAGATTCAAAACTATAACAACTTCCAAAAAGATCATGAACACTAATATTTTCAGTAAATTCAGCACACTATGTGAATAAACAAATGCTTATATTTTATTTTATTAAACTTTTGAAACTTTGATCTAGCAGGATTAATGTGCATGGATTATAACAAATGATGAAATATTGTGTGAACCCATAAATAATGTGATTATTTTCAATTGAACTAAAAATTAGAGGGGGACAAGATAAACTACTTTCACCAACTTGCTATAAAAATGGGTAGAAATCTTACTGTGTTCTTAAAAAAGTATGTTTTGCTGCCTAGAATCCACAGAAACGCAAACATATGGCAGGAAAGAAAAAACAAAATTTAATTATAAATCTGTTTCTTACAAAATTAGAGTATATTCTGCAGACAAAAGTTATATTATTAAATTATTGACTTAAATGATCATAGATTTCCAAGACATTATTAAAGCTTAATTTTACCATTTCTACATTTTTTGTTAATGGTATCTTTTTTATCACTTCCATGCTATCAACAGAACTTAAAAAAGCTAAAAAGTTATACCTTGTAACACTTACACACATTTATTAGAAGTAACTAAGTACCGTTTAAGTATTCATAAATGAAGTGAATATGAATTAAACAAATATGAGTCTTGGAAAATTTTCATGACATGAAAAATCTTCACACAATTATACAAAGGACTAAACTTACTTTGGGGGTCTTTGATCAGGTTTGCTACTCCAGTCCCAAATCCAGTCAGTACTACCATGCCTCCTTTGCCCAACATCAAACTAAGTATCATACAATTTAAAATTTTAGTAATTACCTTACTATTTTAGACTACAGTTTCAATACATTATATAAATACTTCATTATTCATAAAAAAAAAAAAAAAAAAAAAAAAAAAAAAAATAAATGTTGTTATTTATACATACACACTCGGACAGGTTCAAAATCTTTAGAATTTAAATAATTTATACTAATCAATAGTAATTTTGCATTCTACTCAAAGATAAAGTAAGCCTACAGTTCTGTGAATGCCATTATCTATTGCCGAGTGCATGGATTATAACAAATGATGAAATATTGTGTAAACCCATAAATAATGTGATTATTTTCAATTGAACTAAAAATTGGAGGGGGACAAGATAAACTACTTCCACTAACTTGCTATAAAAATGGGTAGAAACCTTACTGTGTTCTTATTCTTGCAGCAAGTTCTAAAGAGTGTAGCAACAGTCTAAAAAGTAAAGTAACAATATATTTTAAGTTATTTTTTTAAAGTGAATATGAAAAAAAAAAAGCCAATTTGGCCTATTTTGTTTCAGTTAGGTAATTAATAACATGAATATTAATGCAGTATATTGCAATCAGACAATAATGCAGTATATTGCAATCAGACAATAAGCACAAGCTAGCAAAGGGTGGCTCCAGAAATTCCTAGCTGGAAAATAACCTAGAATATTCAGAGAGCTTAACAAGGATATCCTGCAAATCCTGGTGGAATAAAAATCCCATAATAACTACAGTACAAAGTCCGTAATCCAGACTCGTCAGGACTTCGGCGATTCCGGATTAAGGTTTTTTCCGGATTACAGATCATCAATTTAAATCTGGTAAGATGGCATGCAGGAATTATACAATTAAAAATATGAAACCTTAATTTATGAAATAAAGAGCAATTATGATCTAAAGGGTATCAAAATTTACAAAAAAAAAAACTTAATATTTATTTGTTTACGTTATTAAATATTTCTTTCAATGTAAGTTGTTAAAGTTGCTTTGTTTTTCGTGCATGCGTAAACATTAAATGCGCATGTGTAGCATTAAACGCACATGTATAAAGGATACAAAAAAAAAGTTTGTGGCTTTGAGGTCTCGATTATAGATCATTCCGGATAATGGACGTCCGGATTACAGATTTTGTACTGTATTAAGATCTTGCAGAGGATGAAGCAGCGTATATTTTAGATTAAAGGAAAACTTTATTTACTTTGATTTTGAAAAACAAATGTAGAAAAAGAATCACATTATTTATGGGATGACCCAACATTAGTTAGCTAAAAGCATAGGAAAAACACCCATATTTTAGATAAATTTTCATGAATAAGAGTGACGAAAATGCTGGACATTTTTGTTGGTCTATATGAAGCTCATCTCAGCCAAATGTTTTTGAACATAAATGCTGTTGCAGCAGTTTGTAATTATTTATATTTAACTACATACAGTTACACCTAAAACAAGGTAAGAATATTTAGGTGGGTGGCAATATATTACAGTACAAAGTCCGAGATACGGACTCATTGGGACTTCTGCGATTCCGAATTTTTTTCAATACAAGATCATCAGTTTAAATCTAGTAGGATGGCATGCAGAAATTATAAAAATGTGAAATCGTGATTTATGAAATAATGAAGCATTTATGATCTAAAGTGTATCAAAATTTACAAGAAAAACGTTTAATATTTATTTGTTACTTTATTAAACATTTCTTTCAATGTAAGCTGTTTAATCTCTTTAATTCTGTAGACAGACATAATTTCTTGTTTAGTTACATTGTTGAAGTCCTGTAATTGTCGTGTTGAGATTCTGACTAACTCGTCAATCAAAATTTTTCGTTTTCAGCAACCTCTCTGTCACTTTCTTCACTATCCGAAGCGGTATTTTCTGGATCTAGAACTGTACTAGGGGAAAATTTCTACAGGTTTTCACCATCCATTAATTGATTGATGATTGAGGAGCATTGTCATCACAATGAAAAACTTCTTTTATAACATCTTCATTTATTACCACTTTTCCAAATTTCTTTACAAAATCTGTTAACTGGAAAATTTCACCTTTGGTTTGCGATATCCGTAAACCTTTAAAGTTCACGGCTATCATCATAAAATGTAGCTATCGTTCACTATACATGTTTGGCTATGTATTGTGAGATTGGCGACTAACGACAAGTTGTTCTGCTAAATTTTATCTTGCTTCTGTTGTGCACTGAGACAATTAAGCCTGAAATGTATTAACACTTATGGCTATTTTTTGCACATGCTTAAGGCTTATCAGAATCAAAATAAATTCCCACATAAACTTAAGGTTTATTGAGAGCTTGCGCTAGATATCTTACTGCCTGATGCAGTCTCTGTGGGTCCTATGTCAACATAAAAGGCTACCATACTCTTTATTATTCAATTACTAACACACACACAAAAAAAAAAAAAGTGCTTAGGCATTGCTACATGAGTCATTAGTCAAACTGTCATGTTGATAAACATGCAATGATGAAGGTTTGGTTATTTAGCTACGGCAAAGCCTCGAGGGCTATCTGCCTAAGGGGAGGGATGCCTTCGTGGAGGACCTTCCAAGGGAAACTGGCTCATATACACGTTACATATGGGGAAAACCACAAAAACGCCCATGCAGCCAGCCCGTTCGCGGATTCGAACCTTGTACCGAACTAACAGTGTTCAGCGACTTTACGGCTCGGCCGCGGGTAGGCAATGCAGTGATGAAAGCAAAATATAATAAATAATGATTCACGAGGTTGGCGTCAAGGATATAAAATATTAGTAGGTTAATTATTGGATTAGTTATTTTGAGCCAAAAAAAGTGCGAAAATCCGAGTCAGTGAAAGTCAAAGAAAATTTCTTCTTGACACGTGTTCCTCAATTTCCTGTACACATCGAGGAGGGGTAAAATTCATGCCGGCAGGTTCCATTGCCAAATCCCTTGGCGAATTTTCCCTCCACTCTCCAGCGGTGTAATAGCAAACTGCTTTACATTATGTCTATGGAACCTTTCCTTCTTTACATAGATGTTCTTTGTTCCAAATTCTGGCTTTGGTGACCGATATTTCGCGCATGCGCAGCTGTTTTCCTCTATGTTGGAACGGAGCCACTCCTGTTGCGGAGTTTTCTTTCTTAACAATACATATTCTTTGATTCTAACCCCCATAGTAACATAGACTAGAATTAAACCAATTTCGTTTTATAAGAGAATAAGTATTTTGTTTAGTTCAACATGCACTGCACATGCGCATGCTATTCTTAAGGTAACTGGAAACCAAGGTTGCTGGAAACTTATTTTGCCTTTCTAAAAGACAATCTAATTGGAGCTGCGAAAATTGGCTCTATGAATGACGCTCACGCAATACAGAATTCACCAAGAAAGTAACCGCTACCAACGTTGGCACAAAACTCACTTTGAGGAAGGGTCGTCGTATTAAATTCCCTGACTTTTCAAGATTTTGACTCCCTGAATTTTTTGGTCAAATTTCGAATTCCCTGACTTTTTTCCAGTTTTCCAGGTAGCATGGCAGCCCTGGGTTAGACTAAATACCTCCATCCTTTCCTTTCATAAATCTAACAACACATTGCAAGAAACAGGTTTGCACAAGCTTTTGATATTTAAGTAACTTTCTTTTAAGTGGCATCTAAATGATTCATGCCTGCACATCCTTCTCCAAATCCAGGAAACGCAAACCTTAGAAGTAGGAAAATCCATACTTGGATTGCCCAAGTATTAAATCCATAATTATTTCAGTGTTTTAGGATAACATATTTCCAAAATAACCATCCTCCAATTTTATCACTTTTGTTAAAATTTCAAATATTTATGTTTTTAAGTCTAAATTATGTTCTTTGTATTCTCTTTTAAATTTTAATTTCATTCATAACAAAGACTTGCTCTGGTTTTTCCATTTTTGGTTTAATGGCTTAGACTCGCACCATGTAAACCTGATAGCTGAACTTTTCTACAGGTATTTAAGGGAGAAAATGAATACTAGATGAATTCTTATAAGTACAATAAATACAATTTGAATTCAGCAAAAATGAATAATAAAAGAACATGCAGCAAAAGCAAAAATGCAACATGGTGCTAATATACGATTACAAGGGGAGGTATAAGAACATGCAGCCAGTGTTAATATACACTTACATTGCGAGGAGAAGAACATGTAGCTAGGTTTTTGGCAAGATATCTGGGTTGATTGCTGATTCAATCTCAAGGGTTGCTATAACGCAGAAGTACCACATAATCTTACAGATGTGGTACCTGTGCATATTACTGCTAATACATTTAAGGACAGTCTGTTTTAACCCTCTGGCTACTAATGGGACATATATGTGGTTACAAGCTTCAACAATGGCAATGCACTCACCAAAAAGATCACCTGACCACTTCACAAACAAGATGCCACACGAAAGATGAAAACAGAAGCAATGATGAAATTCAAAAGTGAAGGACCGTAAATTATTTTTATGCGATTCCCCTTAATATGATGTTATTCTGTTTTGATGATGCCATGGAGAGTCCTTTTTTTCTTCTCATTTTCTTCTTATGTCTTTTTACGTATTATCTTCATGTTATTTATGTTCGCATGTTTTCGTCATTAAATTACTAAATGTCACTACCATTGTCATCAACAGGACTGTTCCTACAGTTCATAAATATAACTACAAACCTACATGGGGCTTGACCCCTTTGAGCTCTTTCTTCATTAACCATAGACTCTAATTAAAGTCCTGTGGAATATCATAATTAAAATACATTTGATGTCTCTCATCGAATGCCATGATGAACTGAAACTGTAAGTACAATGTTTGAATTATTTCAGGAAAACGTTGCTGTTTGATGATACTCACTTGATGCCTCTTTGATGATTTGATGAAAAAAATATTAAAAGTGAATGAAAGGTGTTTAATTGAATAAACGAAAAGTGTTTAACTGAAGAGTATTTTTTTGAAAAGCATTTTTTTGAAGAATTGCTTGATGCACATTTTAAAACGTTCAACAATTA